CCATAGCAAAGTGCACAATTTCAGTCACAGAGCCTCTGCTATTATGATTAAAATCCAATAATACTTGACTGACTTGATAATCGATGCCCAAAAACTGTATCATTACTTTTAACACAAATGGTTATTAATTTCCCACACAATAAGGTACTTACCAACTAGTCAAATTCAATACTTTTTTCGAATTGTCAAAAACGACAGTTTCTATGAATTTCGTACGAGATTATATGTTGTGACGTCACGTTTTTTACGTCAAACAGCATATTTATTTCTTAAAAATTTGCTGGAAAAATACTAAACTTAAGTTGGTCATAAAATCAATTAATGAAACTGTGATTATTTTTAATATTTTATTGTATTAGGCAGTCTTAATAATTTATTTTTGATTAAGAAAAGTATCCAATTAACAAACTTTCCAATCCCAATAACACAATGTCCATCACCCGTATCCGTCCACACATCCTAACCTAAATACCACAGACTACTACACTTACATAGGTATTACCTAAATAATTACATCCTATAGTGTTACAAAATAAATGAGTTGGTATAATAAGGCCCTAATTTGTGTGTTGTGTAATGCGCATGCGTTAACTTGGCGCGGCAGCCGTGACGCGTGCGCCGATGCGCTCGAGATTCACGCACTTCCGACGTAATCATTTGTTACAGTGTAGAATGTAAATAGAGATGAGTTGAACCAGTTTTGTGAGAGTAATGTTGTTACAAAGAGTTTCTTGATTTTTGATGTGTGTGTAAGTAGTAGGGTATAATTGGGGGTTCTGCATCACTTGCTCTCGCTGCGCTCGAGCTGCGTGATGCAAAACGCCCCAATTCTACTGCTTAGGCAGATCGTAATGTGCATATCGTATTCAATAACAATACAGTCGAATAAGGATTGCGTTCGATTCGCAACTGTTCATTCAGCGGGAATCCGACTTCCTAGTATCGTGATGTATTGTTTTGCATCTGTTGCATTGTAATATGTAAGAGATTGATCGTCTAAATCTAAACTTACGATGTAGCATAGAGAAATACGACCTGTTAAGACATTCATTATACTTGCATTATAACACTTGTGAGCATGTTTATTATCATGCCTTTGTTAAGTATACATAAAACATTGCATCTCAGTTGTATTTGCCGAAGCCCGAAAGGAGTAGACCGCTATGCTTTTGTCCCATGTAATAAAGACTGTATGAAATCCTTTCTTTCCTTTTATAAGTTAACATAAAGAATAAACGTTGTAAGGTTCATACTACTAGGCTAAGACTTGGTACATACAACTTCCTTTTTAGAATTTCATCTCAGGTATCCGCGACGCTGTGGCGCCGTTTTCTAAATTAGGAAAAAAAAAAGATGTGTGCTCGTTATGCATGCTACATATTATCAAATTGAACTCTATGCTTTCAACACATACAGTTTAAATTGTATCATTAGAGTTTTAGAACTTGTTCATATATATGACTGCAATAAATTAAAAAGTATATTTAATTGGCAACAATTACTGTGAGTGTTTGTTTGGGATAATTACATAAAATGTCGGTGAGTATTTTTTTTCTGTTCTTTATTAATAATATTTAATTTTTTATTACGTGTATACTTAGTTTTTTATTTTTTGTTCCAGGACTCTGATGACCTTTTTAATTTTATCCCATACCCGCCAAAGGAACCAAACGCAGGCGAGTCATCTAAACTCAATTTAAAGAGAAAACGTGGGACATCATCAGCTCCACAAAAGCGTCAACGAGTTCAAGTATACTCCTATACTAAAACAAGGGCTCAAAATATATCTGCATCATCAAGGACGATAAAAATTGAAATTTACGAGGCTGATAACCAGCCTATAAAGGCTTGCGAGTGCAGGGCGAACAAGTGCGTACAATATGTAATAAAAGATATTAATTGTGATGATATATACTTCGCTTTAGAAAATATAATTGGAAAAATTCAAGAAAAAATTCAATAAAATTGTATATTTATATTCAGACTTTCATGACTATGTAACATTCTTTTTAGTTAAGTTTAAATTATCTTTGTTTATGTGTATAATCATAATTATTATATTGTTATTATACTATCATTATTATATTAGCTTATAGTGTCCCACTGCAGGACAAAGACCTCCCTTCCCTCCTTCCACTTGTCTCTAATTATATTGTTAAATATTACATAAATAGTATTAAAATTGTAATCATTTTATAATTAAAAAATAAATAAAATTGTGCAATAAATATATTCAATAACAACAGTAGCTAAAATTATGTAGTTAATATACTTACTATACCATACCTATGTATATTAGCTTTAAAAATAAATTAGGATTATGTTGTTACTTTAAACATTTTTAATAAACTTATTTCCCTGGTACTGTGTACACAATTTGGTTTTATTTTTAATCAACTCATCACAATAAAAGAGACCAAGTCGAAAAATTGTTAAAAGGATTAACCACCTTATGACCACGCAATGAGGTCGCATTTTCAGCGTAAACACTCTTGTACTAATGTTGGTTTAATATTAAAAAAGCGTATCAGTTCGTGCATACATAAATGAGGTCTCATATAATTGGTTATAAGAAAGTTTCTTGTTATGACCGCCGTTAATTGAGCTCTTATTCCTTTTACGATTTTCATCTCCAATTGCTTGGTGAAAAGCTATTATGGTTAATATGATGAGCAGACATATTCCATATGTGCATCATTAGGATGCATTCATACCTGATGCTAGTAAAAGAAATTTGTTCAATTTAAAGTATGCTCTAAGTACTACTGTCATAGGGACCAAATATCATAAATATTTTTTTATTGTAATTTTTTTTGCTATAATTTGTTGCAAGGAGTTCGTATATGAACACGTCTTTATTTTTAAGGTTTATAAAAGTATGCACTCGATGAATGTGCTTTACTTTACTTTCTTACACGTAAGTTTGAATACTTAATTTGAGCTGTGTTCGTTAGTGTCACAAGTTTTCCTACGTTTTTTTTTTTCTTTTGTGACGGAATTCTACAACAGTAAAGTATGTAAGTACTTATTTATTATACTTAACTATATTTTCTAAAAGTCCCCATCATAAAATCTTGACTATTTTCCTTTGACCGCCTACAATAATTCAATATTTATTAACACTTTTATCATTACTCATTTGACCAGTGCTCGTAAGTAGATCTACTGAGCGAGAGGTTTTGGTCTCGATTTCCAAATCATGCTAAGACAATTCATAGGTTCAATATATAATTAAATTTTTTTAGGGTTCAGTGAATTCGTGAGAAACAGCTAGTTTCTTTATACATACATGCATCGCTGTAAACAGGTGTGATAATATTATATGAATTACTTTTCAGGGCTCAGATTGACAATCCGTTTTGGTTGCATGAAGAGGATTCGCTCCAACCTTCAACTGCCGCTAATAGCAGTTCTAAGAAGAAAGCTGAACCAGTGAAGCGGGCTAAAAAGTCTCAAAAGAAAAAAGTTCTGCCTGTGAAAAATCCATTTGCTGGGGAATCAGATTCCGACAGCGATACGATAAAGCTTGCCGAGGATACTACTCCACCAGCTATCAAACGAAAGAAAATTGCTGTTTTTCCTGACTCTGAGGTAAGCTTATGCTACACTTTAAACTATGTAGGTACACTTTTTATTCCTTCTGTTTACTTATATCTATCGATAACTCCTGTCTTTCACAGCCTAGGGCAGGGATGGTGAACCTTTATTGACTTGCGTGCCAAGTCAAATAAAAAATCAAATAGTTAACATGAAAAGGTAAAAGATTATGAAGAATAGACTTGTCTTTGATTCGAAAATTTTCATAAACAATTTTAACATTAGCGCTAAGATATCTTAATAAAATTGGCTCTGTTCTGCTCTGCACGAGTACGTGGTTATGGTACATAATTTCAATTGAAAACTTGCAAAATAATGGTGTGCCCAAATTATTAGCTGCGTGCCATTGGTTCGCCATCCCTGGCCTAGGATATATTCCCAACAAAATAAGTTTTATAAGGAAAGTTTTTTTTTATCTTCGAAACGGTACGTGGTGATACAACACACCTTGAATTTAACCTAGATGTTACTAGGTAGATGCTAAATTGAAGTTTTATTGTTTTCCAGGATGAACCGCAACAACCGATTCGAGCGGTGACTTTAAGAAGTGCTTTCTCTCAGCGCATAGCTTCGGGCTACAGCTACCAATCAGACCCGACGAAAACAGGGCAATATTTTTTCGAACTGAGAGTGTACAACACTTGCGAGGCTGAGCGACTGCCACACAACGAGCGCTGGAAGCAAGCTCTCGTAACTTTGAAGCTTGCTACTGACCAGAACACAGGTGTTTGGGCTGCATTAACCGGTCTAGTTAATGCTGGTCGAAAAGAAATGAGGGATATTCGTCCGGTACTGTACCCTAATCCCAATAATTAGGATATTTTTTTTTTTTACTTTTTGATTCATGTAATCCCCCATCTTAGGTTTATAATAACCATTTAACTTTAGAGGAAATATTTTATTTTATCTTATTATTACGTATGTCCCATAAGTCTTATTATTATTGTTCATTGATATAAAATAAACCTTGCAGGCTTTACAAATAACAATTACCTTTTTGTCCTTCTAATTGCAACAATATGTATTCTCTTACAGACATTTTACACATGTAAAATAAAAATTGATTAACTGCACAAATGAAACAATTAATTGATTAAAAATTACAATTGAGACTTTAAATAAGATTAACTTTGTTTTATTATATATTTAAAATTCTAATTGCATATATTATGTTTATGTGTATTCTCTTACAGACATTATACACAAGAGAAATTAAAAATTGATGAAATTTACAAATGAGATACAAATAATATTTACAAATAATATAATATAAATAATAGAAAACATACAAGATAAAATGTATGAAATATAATTCGGAATAATATTTTGTATTATTAATTAGAACTAGCATTCAATAACTTATATATTAAAAATCTATCCGAAAAGGTATACCTACTTTTGAAATGTTCTTTTGTAAAAGCTGCAAGATTTATGTTTCAAAATTGTCATCTCACTATAGATCTAATATTCATAAATCAAATCGCTTGTCGAATTCTGAAATTGATAATGTTCAAGTTATTGCTTCTGCATTTAAAAAAAGGATTATAAGTTATAAAATAAATCCGATTGTTTTCACTATAACTCCCGAAACATTTTTAAGCCAAATTTCAAACACTGTGTATAATACCATTAAAAAATCCCTTAAAGAACATAAAGCGATAAAAGTAAATTTTGAACTATTTGTTTCTTACATTTTGCCTAAAAATGATGAAATATCCATGAAATCATTTAACACAAAATTTAATATTATAGTGCAAAGCACTGATATTGCTGATATTTACCGGAAATGTTCTGAGAAATTAACATCAAAATGTTCCGAGTTTGAACTTTCAGACTCTGGTTGGACAATAAATTTTATAAGTCATTTGGAAGTAAATATAAATAAGTACAATCCTCTAAGAGCTGGAACTTACTTACAGTTACCCACTGTCATAAGAAATACAAAATCTTGTTTAAACATACGTAACAATGACAATTATTGTTTTTTGTGGTGTCTTTCAGCTCATATGTATCCAACTGTACAGAATCCTAATCGCACAAAATCTTATCCTCACTATACGAAACTATTTAATTTAAATAATTTATCATATCCTCCGAATTTTAATGACATAAAAATATTTGAGATGAATAATCCATTTATAAGTGTGAATGTTTATGGTCTGGACTCTAATAATCATGTAACAGGTCCTTTATATTTGACATGTAAACGCAAGCTTATCCATGCTAATCTGTTATACATATTTCAAAATGGAAAAGCACATTTTTGTTTAATAAAAGACTTTAGTCGCCTTTTGCATCGTCAATTAACTAAACACAAGTCTAAAGTATTTTTATGCGATGAATGTTTTTTATACTATGGCACAATAAATAAATTGATGAATCACAACTGTGGTAGAAAACAAACCATTTTACCTGAAGAACATAGCAAATTACATTTTGTGAACTTTGAAAGAACTCAAAGTATACCTATTGTAATATATGGTGATTTTGAAAGTTTATTATGTGAATACTCGGACAAAAATAAATCCATTTTTACTGAAAGTGTACAAGCACATAAAGCATCCTCATTTGCTTACTATATTTGCTGCAAGGCTAAACCCGACCTGAATGAGTTTGTAAGTTATAGAGGCCCAAATTGCAGCCAAACATTTGTTAAAACAATAATAAATGATGTCAAAAGGCTTCATAATATTTTACAAGAAGATAGGCCTATGTTACCTCTTACCCCTGAGGAGTTAACTGTTCATAATGAAGCTACTACATGTCACATATGTAAAACTCAATTTGTTAAAAACGATAAAATTGTTAAAGACCACGATCATTTCACAGGTAAATATAGAGGTCCCGCACATAATAACTGCAATTTAAATTTTAAAAAATGTCAATTTATACCAATAATTTTTCATAATCTCTCTGGATATGATTCTCATTTATTTATTAAAGAATTATCTGGTATCCTTGGTAGAATCAATTTGATTCCTAAATCAAAAGAAAAATATATCTCGTTTACTAAGTTCATACCGATTGATAAAACAAATACCGCTCAGTTAAAATTTATAGATTCATTTAATTTTTTGAGTACTAGTTTAGATAAATTGGCAAAAACTTTACATTCAAACGATTTTCATCACATGCAATTGTATTTTCCTAATGAAAACTTATTTCAATTAGTTCGTAGAAAAGGGGTGTACTGTTACGACTACATAGATACATGGGAAAAATATAACGAAACTCAACTGCCTGAGCGATCTAAATTTTTTAACAAACTTACTGGGGAACATATTTCAACAGATGATTATCAACATGCTAAAAAAGTGTGGGACAGTTTCAAAATAAAAAATTTGGGAGAGTATACGGACCTATATTTGAAATGCGACGTACTTTTACTATGTGATATTTTTGAAAAATTTAGAGATATGAGTTTAAATTATTATAGTTTGGATCCGTGTTTTTATGTTTCATCCCCATCATTAAGTTGGGATGCTATGCTGTTACACACTAAAGTTGAGCTGGAATTAATTTCGGATGTTGATATGTACCAAATGTTAGAAGATGGAATTCGAGGTGGTCTTGCCCAGTGTTCACTGAGATATGCTAAAGCTAATAATAAATATCTATCGTCTTATAATAATAAAGAGCCAAGCTCCTATTTAATTTACCTAGACTGTGTTAACTTATATGGATTTGCTATGATGCAAAAACTGCCTATGCGTAATTTTAAATTTATGAACGAAAATGAAATAGTCAATTTTAATGTCATGAATGTATCTAAAAAGAGCAAACAAGGTTATATTCTTGAAGTAGATTTACATTATCCAACTAGCATTCATAATTCCCATTCAGATTTGCCTTTTGCAGCCGAAAAGTTTTCTCCTTTGCAAAGGCAATGTAAAAAATTAATAGCAAATCTGTATAACAAATATCGTTTTGTAATCCATTATTTACATTTACAAGAGTGTTTAAAAAATGGTTTAATATTACTTAAAATACATAGAATACTAACATTCTTCCAAGATAATTTTTTAGAGCCATATATTTCATTAAATACATCTCTAAGACAAAAAGCTAAGTCAGATTTTGAAAGAGACTTTTTCAAAAAACAAAACAACTCTATTTTTGGGAAAACGATTGAAAACAAGCGCAAACAACTTGATGTTCGGCTAGTTCAGGTATGGAAAGATAAATTAAATACAACTAACAAATTACATGGGGCTGAAAAATATATAAGTGCTCCAAACTTTAAAGACTTGACAATTTTAGACAAAAATTTAGTGGCTATACAGTTAAATAAAACAAAAGTAGTTTTAGATCGCCCCATTTATATTGGATTTTCTATACTCGAAATATCTAAAACACATTTATATAATTTTCATTATTCGGTTATGAAAAAGATCTATGGAGATAACATAAAACTGTGTTATACGGACACTGATAGCCTTCTATATCACATAAAAACTGACGACTTTTACACTGACATGAAAAATAATATTACTTATTTTGATACAAGCAATTTCGTAGAAAATAATATATATGTATGCCAAAAGCTAACATGCAATTACCGGGTTATTTCAAAGACGAAATGGGAGGAGATGTGATCTCAGAATTTGTTGGTTTACGTGCTAAATTATATTGTATACAGTCAGAGAAAAATACCATAAAAAAGGCAAAAGGGGTTACAAAGCCGGTAACAAAAAAATTAGATATTGAAAAATATAAAAGAGCTTTAAAATATAATGAAAATTTAAGAGATGATATGTATATAATACGATCAAAAAATCATTGCATTTTTACACAAAAATTGAATAAGTTAATTCTTAACAGAGATGACAATAAACGGCAAATGATAAAAAACAGTTTTGAAACTGTGCCTTGGGGACATTATGGTACAATACTTTAATAAGAATTCGTATTTAGGTATGTTTTGTTTATGTTTTGTAATTATTATGTTTTGTGTTTATCATAATTTACTATTATGTGATTGTAAAACACACCGTATTGATAACATGTATATCTACTTGTATGCCAAATAAATATTATAAAGTACTGTTGTTTTTTTTTTTTATTTTTATTTATAAATAAAAAAGTATACCATATAAATATATTGTTTACGGAAAGGTAAATAAAAGAAGATAAATTTTGTGACATTTTATATTCAACAATAAGTAATAAGCAGCTTACACTCTTGTCCAAATAAGATTTACTGTTGATTAGACAAGCTAATTTTTTTTACTATTTTACCTATCAAATATTCAATTTCATCCATAATATCATCACAATAGTCTTTCACTAGGTACTGAACACTTACACGAGCATTATTATTTTCACAGTAATTAATTCCTGGAACAGTGTCACCACTCAGATCATAAACTGCTATATTTATCAAATGATGACATTTTCCTGGTTCATTTCGAATAACATAAGACAAAGATGTGTCCAGCTTCCTTTTTTTAGTCTTCTTGGAACTTTGAGCTTGATTATTCTGAGAGTCTTTAACTGGTAAATGTTGCTGATTTGTTAAGTTTTCAAAATACGTTTTGTAGTTTGCCTCCTGTAGATCCTCAGAATTGGGCTGTGAAAATACAATTTATTAACATCTAAAATAGTAACATAAATAAATACATTAGAAGCTGAATACTATCTTGGGTATTCTGGAAAAGTTCATAACTATGCTGACGGACTAATAGGCTCCATCAAAGTTCAACACGCGCCTACCCTTGAAAAGTGGAAAGGGCTATTCAATTTTTTTTGAACAAGTCTTTGTTGCAGTTTCTTTGTCTGAACTTTGTCTAACGATGATGAATAAAGTAATATTTACTAACCTCTTGTATTTCTGTCTGATCAACTTCGTTCAAAGGAGTTGTGATTTGAGAATCAACATTATCAAATACAAATCTGTTAAGTTCTCCAATGTCGAGAATGCTGGGGCTGTATGACATGATTCTGAAAATAAAACTTAAGTGAGATATCTAATTATCCACATTAAAAATATAGTGATAATTTTTTTAACATTAAAATCTTACCAATAAATCTTAATTTCTCCGCTAAAAACAGGTCCTGCTTCGACTAACTATGGCAGCATAATGAAATATGACGCAACATGAAATTAAATCAATTAGGTATTAAAAATATAATATTGTATACCTAATACAAGAATACAAAAATTAACTTAAACCTGTACAAACATGTTAAATCCTGTATTTATGTTTTATGTAATATATCTTATTTAGTGTTAAAGGTATAGCTGCCTATAAATATGTGTGTTAGACACTCATTACAGTAATTGTCAAAATGAAGTTGATCAAGCAACCCATATCTTTGAAAGTTAACAATATAGATTTAAATGAATCTTCTCATCAGATCAGACATAGTCCTTTATTACCGAATACGATTCGATGTATAATGTGTGGTCCATCGAACTGTGGTAAAACTAACGTTATGATTAGTTTGTTGTTACATGAAAATGGTCTAAAATTTAAAAATCTTTATCTTTATTCCAAAACTTCATTTCAACCAAAATATCGTTTCTTGAGTCAAGTATTAAGAAGAGTGCCACAGATGAACTTCTATAAGTTTAACGATGATAAAGAGGTCATTTCTCCGACTGAAGCTTTACCAAATTCTGTATTTATATTTGATGATGTTGCATGTGAAAATCAAATAAACATCCGCAATTATTTCTGCATGGGTAGACACAAACAAATAGATTGTTTCTATTTATCTCAAACCTATTCGAAAATTCCGAAACAACTATTACGTGACAATGTGAATTTTCTTATTATATTCAAACAAGATGATGTGAATTTAAAACATATTTATGAAGAACATGTTAGTTCTGATTTACAGTGGAAAGAGTTCAGAAATCTATGTCAAACTGTTTGGAGTAAACCTTATAATTTTCTACTTATTAATAAAGAATCGTCATTAAATAACGGAAGGTACAGACAGAATTTTGATATGTTTTTTAAATTTGACTGACTGTTTATATAATCTGCATATAAGTAATTAACATGCAAAATCAAATTCAGTATAATTTGTTCTTTAGCTTAATACAGTTGTGATAACACGTATTACAACATGGAAAAAAATATTAAAATAGAATTAATTAAATCTGTTGACTCCATAAAAAATAAAATAAAACAAATGAAAAACCAGGAACATTCTATGAACTTGTCACTTGATAAAATGTTAAAACCTGTCACAGATCCCCTTAAAACCCTAGTTGATTCGAACAAAACAATAGAAAAAAAACAAAATTTTGAAAATACATGCTTTAATTTTGAAGATATGGAATTGGGTGACAAAAATACTAGCTCATCTACAAAGTTTGAAGAATGCTACGAACCAGAACTGAATTCTATGCAGTTCGATAAAAAGTCTCCCCAGACAAAATTACTAGAGGATCTAGAAATATCATTAGAGGGCTATGACATCCATGATATTTATGATGGAATAAATATACCTTTTGGAATTAGGAGTGCAAACAAAAAATTATTAATGGGTAATTCAATAGTTTCATTTTCTAAAATTGATAGTGTGAATGATGATAATGTCATTTTAATTAAAGTTGGTGACAAAAGCTACAATTTAACTCCTGGTTTAAAAGAACTTTTACTTCGAAAAAAACCTGATTTAAAACTAATATCGAGCAAAGATAAACTTGTCTATAAAGATATGTTGCATTATACAAATGCACATAAGAGAGATTTCAATCCTAATGCACAAATTAGAGGCGATAAAGGTATAAAATATCGTGAAATAATCAAACCATTGTTTTCTGAATCGTTAAACAGTAATATTGTTACTAAATTTGGGGGAAGCTTACCAACGCTAAAGAAATACAAAAAAGATGCTGACTTGGTATATTGGGACGATCCTAACGAACTCGTTGAGAGATTGAAACTATTAATTGCTTCCCGAGATGCTGGTAATACAAACCATGATAATGAAATTTTATCAATAATCGAGGAATTAAAAGAAGCTGGCATAATTAAATAATAAATAGTTGTAATACTATGCTTTTTATTCAGTATTAAAACTGAATTCAATACAAATATACTGAACTGTGAATATGAGCAAAGCTGACGTAGTAAACGAAATTCATAAAAATGCAAGGGTGAACTATCCACGAAGACATGTTATCATGAAAGATATAGATGACTTGTGGCAAGCAGACTTAATTGATATGCAATCAATTTCAAAAGAAAATAAAAATTACAGATATATTCTTGCTGTTATTGACACATTTTCGAAATATGCTTGGGCCTTTCCTATGAGAAATAAAACCAAAGAAGATGTGTGTAACTCTTTCAAAACTTTATTGAATAAAGGGCGTGTTCCTAAAAATCTGCAAACGGATAATGGAGCAGAATTTTATAATAACAAATTTCAGAAGCTTACGGCATCGTATCATATTAACCATTATTCAACCTTCTCAACAAAAAAGGCTTCAATAGTTGAACGATTCATCAGAACATTGAAATCTAAAATCTACAAGGAATTTAGTTTAAAAGGCAATTACAATTGGGTAAATAATACCCTCAATGATATTATTTACAAATACAATCACACTCACCATCGCACTATTAATGAAATCCCTGCTAATGTGGACAACAATAATAAAAAACTGATATTAGAAAGGTATTTAAAGTTGCTAAAAAATGATAATTTAAAAAGCAAGTATAAAGTAGGTGATTATGTGCGTATCAGTAAATACAAAGGAACATTTGAAAAAGGTTATACTCCAAACTGGTCAACAGAAATATTTAAAATTCGTAAAATACAAAATACAACTCCTATAACTTACATAATAGAAGATACTATTAGAGGTCAGCCTATTTTAGGTGCATTTTATACACAAGAACTTCAAAAAACAAAACATCCCAATGTATATCTAGTTGAGAAAGTTCTTAGAAGAAAAGGTAGCAGAGTTTTGGTAAAATGGCTAGGTTTGTCTTCAGCTGAAAACAGTTGGATTGATAAATCGAATGTTATATTATAAATAAAATAATATTAACAACAAAATCGAATCGCATAACTATTTATTAAAGTATTCAAACCGGAATCATCAGTCTTATAATGTGTTTTGGAGAGAGCAGTCTTCTCAATTGGCTTATTAATAATTTACCATTTGAATTACACTTACCCGGATATAATTACTGTGGTCCTGGTACTAAATTAATAAAAAGACTTGCACAAGGAGATAGCGGTGTAAATAAGTTGGATGAATATTGCAAAGATCACGATATTGCATATCACAAGTCATCAAACTTGAAAGAGCGACATAAGGCTGATTTAATTTTGTTAAAAATGGCAAAACAGCGAGCGGTTGCTTCCGATGCCAGTACAGGTGAAAAACTTGCGGCACGCTTAGTAAGTAAGGCTATGTCGGCAAAAATTAAAACTGGTTCTGGTTTGAGGAAAAAACGTTCTTCAAAAGTTACATCCGGAAAAGGATTAAAAAGTAAATTAAAAACTGTTATTACAAAAGCAAAAAGACACATAAAAAAATTAAAACCTAAGAGCAAGAAAATGGCTATAGAATTAGCTATTGCCGCTACCAGAGAATTAGCTGACGATTCATCGATTAAGCTCCCCC